GCTACTGCAACTGCTAGTGCTAGTGCTAGTGCTAGTGCTAGTGCTGCTGCTACGACTGCTGCTGCTACTACTACTACTACCACCACCACGACGACGACTGCTAGCAGGCCCTTCCCGACCCCTTGGCAGGCCCCGGAAGGGTCCAATAGGGCCTGCCGAAGGCTGGGGTGGGGCCTTTGTAAGGGTGGCAAAGGCCCAGTACGCAGGGCATGTCGCAGGGTCGGACATGGTCTGCGGACAGGGCCTGCAGCACGCTGAGACCTTTACGGTGCACCTGTGGTCTGGGTGATTCGTCCGTCCGCGGGGCCCATAGATAGGGTCTGTGGCACCCTGACCTTGCGACTGGGCCTGGGGTAACCTATGAGGCGGTTGTCTTTAGCTTTTCCTTGTCGGCTCTAAAACCCTTGTGTCTTAATCAGGTATAATATCTTATTCCGCAGTAATTACAGTCATTCAGAAGATCTTGCGTAGAAGCGAACTGCAGCGCATGCCGTCTTGGCAGGTTTCATGTGAAGGTGATCTTGACGCTCCTCAGGTCAGTCAATTGTCATCGTTGCGTCTCACTTCCAGAATTTCCCCCAGCTCCTGATAAAAAAAATGCCGGCAAGATTCTCGCTTGCAGCCGCAGTGCAATTTGGACTCTTTATCCTTGGCTTCAACGGCCGCGAGCATTCATCGATCAAACGAAAAAAGAAACTCAGAGCGCATCAGAAACCGATCGGAAACCAGCGCTCACGGGGAACTGTGCAGGGGAAGCCGATGATAACGTCCATGCCCCAACGATGATATTGTCCATTCCAGTGTCGAAGGCTGGGGGGTCATAAGACAGATTCATGCAGAAACTGAGCACCCAGGTTGTGTTTAGGAAGAAGAAAGAGCCTTCTGGATGACCTACATCCAAGACCGTGGGAGTTACAATACGCCGAGGAGAGGAGAAACATCCGAGGAGCCCTGGCAGCGAGGGCTCACACCAGCTCCGCCAAACGACGACACCGACAAATTGTATGCACATGTTGTGATCATGTTTTCCGATGGCGCCTGCATCGCTTGGGCAGGTGAACGGAGCCAATCTTTGAAGGAGCCGTTGCCGCTTGTAGAATGGCCCTTCCTCGTTGTCTTGTTCCGGGGAGGAGAGGGGGAACGCTACATAGGTTATCTGGGCCATATGTCCTCGACCTAGAGAACCATAGGGCTCCAGACATTCCAAGGCTCGGGTGTAGTTAAGCCGATTTTTTTTCCAAGACTGGAGGACGCGCCACTGAAGCTCAGGGCCATCCTGTGAGACAACAGTCGTGAGGTCAGTTCTGCATCATGCGGTGTCAGTTTGTCGAAGGCGACCTGTAGAATCAAGTTCCCGAGTTGTAACGATACCTTGGCTTCAGCCCCATGCCTCGTTCAGATGTGAATTATCGTGAGGACTGGGTCGGCAACACTGACCCGGATGCTCGTGTCGGCGTCTGAGAAAGCACGAGGATTCCTTGCCGGCATGAGTCCCTCAATGGCTGGCAAGGCCGCTGTCTTTGCGACGCTTTGCCCCGGAGAAGGCGCACCCTTCAGCAGAAATGTCTCATGCGGCAAGCTTCTCGGATTGGCATGCTGCATTGTGAAATGTTGCTCCCCTTCTGGCAGAGGCAGGCTTTCAGCTGGTTTTTTGACAAGATCAGCAATCCAGACTCAGGTGAGGCAATAGACCTGGCAGACTTCTTGAGCCAGATGCTCAATGATTGAACTCACTATTCTGTAATGTGTTCAGACGTGGGCTGGCTTCGAAGTGTCACTGTTCAGGCTTGAACTTACACACAGCCGTGCTTGCTCTGTGGTTGCCTCAGACTTTGCTAGATGCACGCAAGATTTGCATGGTCAGTCCCTCGATCCCTGGGCTTGAGCTGCACAAGGCGAAGATTGGAGCATTTCCAGCATTGGATCTTTGAGGGGCATGGCCCCCATGTCACACAGCTATCAGGTTTGAATGGTTTTCGTCGCCAAACCATGTGCTGCTGCAACGTTGTTTGAGATTAGCCCATGCTTGAAATTAAAGTCTCCCGCCGTTGAATGGACGCGACATGCCCGAGAGTCTTCTCCTTGCATGCTATGCTGCGTAAGATGTTGATGTGATGCCTGCTTGGTTCATGCTCCCAGCAAATGCCACTCGCCCGTCATCCTCCCATGATCTCTCATGCACCAGTCTGGCACGCCCGTAGATGCTGAGGTTTGGTCGAAGCAGCGAGGCGAGTGCTTTTTTGTTGCGCTGACATTTGGTGTGAGCACACCGCAGAGGTGTGGATCCAAAGATCTGGACCCAGAAAAAGTACAAGTAGGGCGAGGGCGAAAAGAGCTTGGATTCCGGGACGGCTTTGAGGTCCAGGGTCCAGGCCCAAAGGAAGTCCATGAGCAGCAGTTAAAGTTGCAACAGAACACTGTGGGTGATACTGGATAGAAGGGCATCCGCAGACAGTCCAGCGAGCGTCTGCTCCAGAACGTCTGCAATAACATTTGCAACAGTAATTCTAAAATTCGGATCGCGGCGCACGAAGTGCAAAAATACACATGCCCGCAGAGTAATTGAGAGCCATTCCGGCATTCCTACAGTAGTTACTAGTCCTAGTTTGTCGCTGATTGTTCACTTTACCAATGCTCTAGATTACCATTGCATCAGACAGAAATGCCATGGGCTTCCGTCACACCGGTATCCTGTCAGGTTTACCGCAAAGTATACAAGGCCTTGGGTCCACCCGAAGGGCCTTGCCGGCACGATTGTCGACGGGCAGCCGCCTGGTTTTAAGCGGCCACTGTGCTTACTGATGTCGTATCTGGCAGCGCAATCGGTTCGCTTGGTCTAGCAATCAATGTGGCCAGGAAAGGCTTGAGCCGCAGGGCATTTGCCGAAGGCGCCAAAGCATTGGGATATCCTGGCGCGGATGTTCGCGTCATCCGGTCAGTGTCCGGACCTTTGCTCGAGCCAGTCGGGTGTTGGACTGGAAGCTGCCTTGCAGGATAATCAGCAGGCAGTGAGGCAACGGCAGAGGT